CTGAAACTGCACCACACTCAAACATACAAACTTCAACACAAAGCTGGACCAACACACAACTCAATGCTGTTTTACAGCATTTTCAGCAGGACTGTGACTACATGATTTTCAGCAAGATTTAAAGATAAAAACAAGAAGCAGTGCTAATATTTGCCCTAATTGGCCCGAATATACACAACAGCACGGTGCAAATTAAGACAGGAAGTAAACTGTACTTGTTCTGATTGGAATCATGTGTCTGTGAGTAGCCTGAGTGATTGTCATGACTGTGACAGATTCGTGATTGGAAACATCTACAGCAAACAACAGCAAAAAAACATTTATCTTTTCGTTTCTTTGTGAATGCCCCATAACCGTATCGGAGTATTGAAGGGCAATCAAGGCTTTCCCGCCATGACGATGAAACAGAGTAGTCATCAGACAGTGAGAAGGCGGTTTGCACACACAACAGTAGCAACTACGCATGCACAATGTGTACCACACTCCATCCCAACAACATTAGTCAGTCCCACTGTTGTTCAGGGATCTGGTCTGTCTTTACTTATTTACGTTTCACTGAGCTAGCCTTTCCTCTGAATAACTTTTTTTTTTTACTCAACTCATATATTGTTTTGCTTTTCTGAGTGCACCCCCATGAACCTGCAACAATGTCCAACACCAACCAAGACTTTCTTCATGCGTGATTTCTGCTCCTTAATTTCCAAACACCACAAGCTCGGGCTCAAAGTAAAATGGCACATTTAGCAGCCTATAATCAAGGACAAGCAGTGGGCTGAAATGGTGTCACTGGGGCTAATTACAGGTAATTAGAAGCCAGTTGTCTCTTTCACTGACATCAGCTGGTAATAAAATGTGGTGAATCATCTGTTCCTCCATGTTGCATGAGATAGAGAGGTGTTTCAGCGACAACATGCATAAGAAAGCAGCTTTTTTTTTAGTAACGCCAACAGCATGCATCAATGGCTGCCACTGTCAGTTTTTTTGTCTTTTGTAAGGGCTGCTTGTTACTCACTGAAACCACTGGCCAGTTCCCAAACAACATGGAGTGGTTCATAGTTCCTTTTAACATGAAAATGAATTATATATTAACTTGATATCTTGACTTTTAATGAAACTCGGAAAGTCTTGCTTTGTATTGTCAAATTGAGCTTTGGCTGAATTATTATAGAAGCTGACATGTACATTCATTTCTCTGAGTTTTCATATGAATAAATTCTTCCCTACCTTGCCTGTAAAACTACTGACATTTGCTTAATGCAAAACTATCACATTCTTGTATGCCAGCACATAAAATTTTTATTTACATAAAGGAAAGTACGAGTATCATGGCTGACAATAGGACATTATCAACATGTGGGCGTTACCCTGCAGGCCGGGAGATATAGTTCTTGGATTCAAGCACAAAACTGGCTGTGACAAAAATATTTTGACATATCTTGCCTCTATAACATGACAATTTCTGAGAAGATTTTGTCATCCAAAGAACCAGTATTTCCACCATGCATCAAATTATTGCTGGTCGACCCATATTCAATTTTAGTTCCCATGTTATCTTCTACATTTTTTTATCCTGTCAACTATTTTTTTCCAGGACAAATATTATGGGGTGCTAGTCTATGCCTTTATTTTTGTCTGTGCTGACATGTCAGATGACCCTAACCCCAACCCTAACCCACTACTGTAGAAATGTGTATGCAGGCATCAAATAAATAAAGCTTTTTTATTTTCATTGTGACTGATTAGATAATTAAAAGTCTCTCAGGACTAAATTAAACAACAACATATGCTTGTATTTCTCTAACTGGTAACACATCTACTGTATTTAAACTGCACAAAGCTGCAGTACAATCCAGCATCTTTTCCCTTGTCCCCTCTTCAACCTGCTTTACTTTCCATTTTTATACATACTTTGAAATTCCTCTTCCGTCTCTGTTTAATGGCCCCTGTTTAGTTTGCTCCAGTAAAGTAATGCTGCTGCTGATTTAGAAATGAGTATTCTGGAGCAGAATGAGCTGCAATATGCCTCCTATCCATTATTGATCCGTGATTATCCCTGAGTTCAGCAGGGCTCGAGATTTCAACACACTAAAACAGGCTTTGGAAATCTTGGCAAAGGGATGCGGTCTGTCACAACGCTGCCAAACAAGACAAGCTGGGCTTTTACTCTAACATCTACTGGAAAGCAGCCTCCAAGTGTAAACTTTTCACAGCGCTTTTGATAGTGAGTGCGAAATGACTGTAGGGGTGGTATTGGTGATAACTGAGGCCAGAAATAAGAGAATCCTGTCAGCACATCCCCCCTCCCCCCTTTGACAGCCATCTGTATCACTCTGGGAAAGCCTCCTACAGACAGCTCTGCAGACTCGCTGATCCTGATATATTTTGACACTGATGGTGCACACAACTGACCTTTGGGCTGTCGAGTGCACTCAGACAACACTCGTGTTTATGTCCCCGGTCTAATAAGGATGTATCTGCAGCCAGCCAACTCCAGGAGCAAGTGCCAGGATACAGCTGCTCCTACCGTGGCTGTAATCACAGCCTCTTGTCTGATTCATGCTGGAGAACATTTTCAGCGGTGGCATTCCCGTGGCCCTGTGAGGAGAAATCGTCCCGACTTAAAATCCAGATGGATATCTGGCAGACTCCCATTCCAGTCAAGTAATACTGAGCTTTTTTTTTCAAAATATTTCATGTTGTGTATGAGACTCGGGTGATTTAATAGAAAATGTAAGTCTTTGACTAATCTATACTAAAGTTTGGCTCAAAGTAAAAAGAAAGAAAAAGGATGTCTGTTTGACTGAAAATGGCATTGGAAAAATTATCAATGAAAAATTAAATGAACAGCCAAAAGAAAAAGAAATGGCCACACAAAAACCACAGGTTGCATGCCTTGGACTAAGGAATCGTATACCAATGAAGGCATCACTTCATAATAATTTTCTTATTAAATCCAGTGCTCAAGGACAAACAGAAAAGTCTGTGTGTATGTTTCTCCCTTGGAGACTGTGTAGATGTTTACTGTGTTGAAGGCTCTGAAGCTTTGCTGAAAGTAGCTTTGGAGTTGGGGTGAAATCTCCGTGACGCACTCCACTTTACCTGCTCACTCTGCTCTCTTGGGTTTGTTGCATCATTAAATATTCACACGATACACACAAAGGACATCATCCGAAGAAAGGTTTACCTGGCCTTCGCCTGTCCACTTGTTGTGTTTCATCAGAATGGAGTTCAGCTTTAAAAGTGAGGAGAACTCTTTCTGCACCCGCAGCACAACATCACCTTTGACGTCGGCCATACCCAATATTTCTAGCTGTATTTCATATTCATGCATCACAGGTGATCCTTTGATTAATCTTAGCAGATGCACTAGGAAAACCAAATACATTTGTTTATATCTTAATAAATATTAATGGTACTCGGATGGAAAATAAAGGAATAAAACCTTTTCAGTAAGTTAATCCAAAAAGAAATTATCAGTATCATCAGCATTTGCGAAAATGGAAAACACATCTTTGAAAATCTCTGGAAGCAATATACATTTTTAAAAACAAATGCTGCTGTGTTTTTTTTATTTTCTGAGGTGCTATTTTAAAAAAGTTTTTGTTTTTGCTGGATTTTGTGAAAATAAAAGTGTTTAAGATAAGAGAAAACTGCGCTCTGAATACATTTTTTCTTAGAGGTTTCTTCAAGTCCAACTACCTGATGGACAATTTTAGGCTTTAAGCTCTCATAGGGTCATTCACACCTGTGAGGTGTTAAGGCATGAGTCACTGACCCACCTGACAGTCCTGTGGCTCTTTGGGACTTGTTGTCCCCTGTGAGTTGTTTACAAACCTCACTGTCACATGAGATTTTTGGGTCACAATGCCAGGAATTCACCACGGGTCACTTAGTGCTTATGAGTAGAATAGAATCGGGAAAAAAAAGATTTTACCCCGCTGGTATGGAACATTACAAATTTCAAGTATTAAGTATTAAAATTAATAACAATAAAACTTACTGTTACTGTGAGATGGCACTGTTAAAAGCCTCATTGCTGGTGGAAGAAAGTTTTATGAGAAATCAAATGTCTTACCTTTGGGACTAAGAATTAATAGCATATTTTCAGGTATCCTCAGGTGTTTTTCATGTTCAGATCACTGTGTTTCGTAGAATCCCATGATTGAAAAGTTATGCTGGTTTGGTTTGTTTTGTGTATGTGTAACTGAGATAACTAAGTTGTATGGGCTGACGGTACACTATTGTTCACCATAAAAACAATTGTTGAATGTATTTTCACCACTAAAAACTGTTTAACCATGAGCAGGAATTCTAACTGTAAGGCTACATACTGAAGGCACACAAGAAGAAACCTCATTATTTTTAAACAATGTTTTGGATTTGGTTGGGTCAGTTTTCCCCTCCACTTTCTCTATGCCTGTGAATTACAACTATGTCCTGATGCCCAATTATTCTCTGTGTTGACAGGTGGGAGAAATCTGTGGAATGGAAACCATTCTAGCGCCCGTTTTGTAAATTCATTGCTTTGGTGCAAGAGTTCATTTTCCAAGGGCAATATATAGAAACTAGCTATAATAGTCTCATTAGTGAGACTTTCAGTTTCCCAATTAGCATTCAACCTTGAAGTTTCATACAGAGACAAAACTCACCATCTGTCAGCACAATGCAGGTGTAGTGGCCCCCCCCCATTTTATTTGCCTTTTTGTTGCCCCTTCATCAGTTTGTGGCCGTTCGTCACTTATTTACGCTGTTGTTCCTGCAGTTTACCCGTAGAGGGCAGTATAAGCCCAGATACACATCTGCGTAGCCGATTTTTCGAGAGTAGAAAGAGAGAAAAACGTGGAAGCACTGTGTAACGGAGTTGTGAATGAAAAATAAACCGAAAAACTTGCATCAGCACACGATTGAGGACCTTCCTTTATTCAAGTGTGCAACACAGGGCAGCCCTCTGTGATGGTGATGCATTCACAGCTCTCTAACTGTGTTTGTTTTGGCTGCAGGAACTTCTACTACATCACCATGCTGCGTGACCCAGTCTCCCGCTACCTGAGTGAGTGGAAACATGTCCAAAGAGGAGCCACATGGAAGACTGCCCTCCATATGTGTGATGGGCGCTCGCCCACCCAGGACGAGCTGCCAACCTGCTACAGCGGAGACGACTGGTCCGGTGTCACCCTGACGGAGTTCATGAACTGTCCGTCAAACCTGGCCAACAACCGACAGGTCCGCATGCTGGCTGACCTGAGTCTGGTGGGCTGCTACAACCTGTCCTCCATGAACGAGAGCCAGCGCAACCACATCCTCCTGAGCAGCGCCATGAGCAACCTGAAGAACATGGCCTTCTACGGCCTCACCGAGTTCCAGCGCAAGACGCAGTACCTGTTTGAGCGGACGTTCAGCCTGCGCTTCATCTCCGCCTTCACGCAGATCAACAGCACGCGGGCGGCCAACGTGGACCTGCGCGAGGCCGTGCGCAAGCGGATCGAGGAGCTGAACTTCTTGGACATGCAGTTGTATGAGTACGCCAAGGACCTGTTTCTCCAGCGGTTCCAGTTCACCCGCCAACGGGAGCACCAGGAGGTGCGCTTGAAGAGACGGGAGGAGAGGCGCTGGCTGAGGGAGCAGAGGGAGCAGGGCAGGCCGGGGTCACCAAAGCACAGAGGGAGGGGAGACAGTGACGGGAGAGGGGAGGGAGGCTCCCAAAAGGAAAGCAACAGTGACTTGACCACCACCACTGAGGACTACACGAGCCAAGTGGCCCGTTGGTGAGGTCTCAGAAGAGCAAGAGATGGGAATCCACACAGACATTTTGCTGGACTTTGTCTTGCACATCTTGCGTCTCTCTTTGTGTCTCACCAGTTTCTTGTCTCCTGCTTCAATCTGTTCTCTGAGCTTCAGTGTGATCCGAGTGCTCCGCTAATTCTTAATGAAAAACGCCAAGTCTGTGACTCCCACAGCACCTCCGTCTTGAAGTGCACTGTGGTGTCTTCAATCTTAAAAAACGCTGTTTGTATATATTCTTTTGTTTAACAATTGCCTTGATTCTTTTTATTTGCTGGATAAGAACAAGTCGAGTGGAAAGAAAGAAAAGTGGCTGCAAAATAGAGACAGTACAGAGGACGAGTTTCATTTTGGCATTCACAGCACACTTTTCATGTCTCCATGTCAGCACAGTAACAGGGTGTATTTACTTATTGGTAAATGACAACTATTGACCCATTTAGCACCCGAACACAGTTTCTACACACACCCAACTCAGTAGTTGTAGTCCCAAAAGCAATTCAGGACCACGTGTTGATTAAATCACCCGAATACTGAGTGATACAGCAAGTAAAACCAAAAGTAAACAGAAGGCCATTTAATACATAGAAAGGGAAAATGTTGCTTGTCACTAGTCTGGTGTTTGTGGCTCCTGTGACTTTCTCCAACCTTCTGTGCTTCTGCTCCTCGAAAAGCTTCTTGTTTGTTTAGAAGTTAATGCTCTAGCATTACATTTACAGTCAAGGTCCAATATTTCTGCCCTGGGTGAATAATTACACCGGCACCAAGGGGCACCTTGTAGATTCCAACGTTTATCCTTGAAAATGTGTATTTTAGAAAGGGTTTTAGAGTTACTGCAAATAGAAAAATCCATCAGTCTTAAAGTTGTCAAAAAAGACCTAATTTTTTTTTTTTTACATATACAGTATCTCTACAATTGATCAAGATGCTTTTGAGAAGACAGCTATGCATGATATTGGTATTTAATTTGTATCAGACGATAAAGTCGTTAAAGTATTATTTGAACTTGGGTCAAATCCTATCAGTAACATGCCGAAATGGGTAAGTTTGTGGTTCATTTTAGTCTTAATCTTTATAGAGGTTCTTCTAAGTCTTTTAAAGTAGGATCAAATGTTGTGTAAAGATGCACATGGCATGTTATAAATGTAAATTAAAGTGCTGTTTTCTTTCTTCCCCAAGACTATAAATTTGGACCATGAGAATGACATTATGGTAATTGAGACATATGCATAAATAAGAGAAAAAACATGGATGTTTTGCATCCCAATAAACAGTTCTAATTAAATAAATGAAAGAAGGTCAATATCAAAAATTCTTCTCTTGGGAAACTGCAAAGAAAACCATGGCATAGACAGAACTATTCCTCCATTACACAGGTCACCCAGCTACCTGTGGTACTGCCCACTTATAAACTTTGGTCCAAAAAGCTAATGATATTTTATAGTTTTAAATGTTATAATAAGTCAGAAGGACAAATACAAATATATTAGGTACACTTTCAAACAAGGAAGCTTTTTTTTCCTTCTCTTTCCTCAGATTGGAAGTCCAGCAAGACAGAGTGGCAGTTGTGTAATTTCACTTTGTACCTCTCTGTGAAGTAATGAACCATTGTTTGTTTACTTGTTCCTTTTTAGCAGACTTCTTTCTCCATTTGTGAACTTGTTTAATTTAAAATAATACTTTCAAATGACAAGCACAGAGACCAATACTTAACACAATGGTGCAGTTTAAAGTTATAGAAAATAAAGTTATTTTAAAGACCATGTTTGCATGCAGCACCCATCTCCTAAACCAAACTGAAATAGGATTGCCTTTAATGCAAATATTTTGTTTACAGCGCTATATATATATACGTTTACGTGCAATATACGTGCAATACCCTGCAGACTTGAACATGTCTACCTAAGAGATGTCCTGCTTGATGGGGTAACTTAAGTCTTTCATTGTGCTTGTTGCTGAGGACTGTGATAAGAAAAAAACATTATCAATTTTAAGAGTTTGGTCATTTATTGGAGTAACAAAGGTGATGAAATGTCTCAGTTTTGCCAATATGTGGCTTGACTGCAGATGAGACGATCAGCATTCAGCTCTTATGTCCCTTCCTGTCAAGCTGGCGGCTTTTACATATTTGTAGAGCTGACGGCAACTGCACTGTGGGCAGCGAGAGCGCTCAAACACCAGCAGAGTGCCAGGATTCAAAGACAAGCCTTAGAGCTGATAGTTGTGAGAAAGAGAGAGAGAGAGAGCAAAAAAAAATGTTTCAGTCGCTTGCCTATGCCTGATAGGTTCCAGTCCCCCAAAGCTTGTTTTTATCGGGTTAAAAAGGCTTTAGCAGCTTTGATGCTTTCTATGTTCTTATCTCATGTTTACTTATGACACAAGCATCAAATGCTCACAAAATGTTAACAATGAAGTCAGATAGTTTCCATTGTTGCAGTAAGTTCTAATGTTTCCCCTCCGGATTGCAGTTTCTCATGAGACACGTCATATGAAATACTTTTCTTTAATTTTCTCTGTTTCACTGAGTGAATTGAATGAATATTGGTGTTGGTGTTCTCAGCTGCGTGGATGAGTTTATATGCACCTGTCAACTTGAATGCTCTTATGCCTATTTGAGATCTGTTAAGTGTCTGGATAGATGAAGGAGAAGAAATAAGTGGTGTGCTGCACATTTATAACACTCGTTCATAACCACATGAGAGCATTGTTCACTCTATAATTTAGAGTTCATGTAGCCATGGCATAGAAGGTGGTTAAGAATATACACGATGCTGTCGGAATACAGAATGCACAATGGAAGCAACCATTGTAAATAAAATGCGCTGCGATATCATCACCTCAAAAATTCACCGTTTAAGACTTTCTAACATTTGCTGATGAGGTTGTAGAGGTAGTTCACAAAAATAGCCCCCCTGACTAATCAAGGCTCTTGAGCCTATTCCAACTGCCTTTCTGAGGATAAATCAGAATTGCCAATAAACTTCATAGGATTCTTTTTTCATTTTGAGTAATGCAAGCAAGAGAATGGGGGAAGAATGCAAACTAAAAAAAAGTCCCAACTAGATTATGAACCAGGATCCTTCACCACTTTGCAGCACCACTTTATCTCAAACTTCAAGCTAGAAGGTCAAATGACCACCGAAAGAAAAGAAAAAAGTACTCTAGAAGCAGTTTATGTTTTCTATGAGCTGCTGTGAAAAACACGATAAGGGTAAAAGTCAAAGCACTAGTATTATCATTTTAACGGCAGACTCGTTCGCCTCATTTTTTACTGACAAAGTGGCAGCTATAAGCAAACAGTTTACTGAACGGCTTGCACATGAAACTTCTCATAGTACATATACAAGCAGAAGTCCTACTGCTTTGTTCTCCTCCTTCGCTCCTCTCACTGAGAGCAATGTGTCCAAACTTCTCACATGTAGCCGTCCTACTACATGCCTGCTGGACCCAGTTCCTACAAACCTACTCCAGTCCATAGCTCCTACAGTTACTGCAGCAGTCACACATGTGATCAATGCTTCGCTGACAACTGGCACATTTCCTAACTCATACAAGCAAGCTTTGGTCACACCGCTGCTCAAAAAACCCTCTCTCCCACCAACTCATGTGGAAAACTATCGGCCGGTTTCTCTGCTTCCATTTCTGTCAAAGACCATTGAAAGGGCAGTCTTTAAGCAGGTCACAGACTACCTCTCACAAAACAATCTCCTTGATACAAATCAATCTGGGTTTAAAAGTGGCCACTCCACTGAAACGGCTCTGTTGTCTGTGACAGAAGCCCTAAAAGAGGCAAGGGCAAATGCCAAGTCCTCAGTACTTATCCTCCTTGACTTATCAGCCGCATTTGACACAGTCAATCATGACATCCTTCTGTCTATACTCTCGAGTATGGGCATCACAGGGAGAGCACACTCCTGGTTTGAGTCGTACCTCACTGGTCGATCATTTAAAGTATCCTGGCTTGGTCACACTTCTGCAGTGCACCACCTCGCCACAGGGGTTCCTCAAGGTTCAGTACTTGGACCTCTTCTCTTTGCTATATATACCACTTCCTTGGCCCAGATCATTCAATCACATGGTTTCTCCTACCACTGCTATGCTGATGATACACAGCTCTATCTGTCATTCCCACCTGATGACCACTCGGTCTCAGCACGCATCTCAGACTGTCTCTCTGACATATCAAAATGGATGAAAGCCCACCACCTCCAGCTGAATCTCTCAAAAACTGAACTGCTTGTCTTTCCAGCCAAACCAACTATTCACCACAATATTCACATCCAAACTGAATCCCTCTCTCTGACTCCATCAAAGGCAGCAAGAAACTTGGGTGTCATGATTGATGACCAGCTGACCTTTAAAGATCACGTTGCCTCTGTTTCTCGATCCTGTCGCTTCGCATTACTAAACATAAGAAAGATCCGGCCGTACCTAACACAACATGCTACCCAGCTCCTGGTGCAGTCTATGGTCATCTCCCGCCTAGACTATTGCAACGCACTCCTGACTGGTCTCCCGGCCTGTACAGTAAAACCTTTACAAATGATCCAGAACGCGGCGGCGCGTCTGGTCTTCAATCTGCCCAAAAAATCTCACGTCACCCCTCTGTTCATTGAACTCCACTGGTTACCTCTGGCTGCCCGTATCAAATTCAAGTCCCTGATGCTAGCCTACAAAGTGCTTAAGGGTATGGCTCCCATCTACTTGAATCCCCTTGCAAAGGCTTATGTCACAACTCGATCACTCCGGTCATCAATGGATTGTCGTCTAGCAGTGCCTTCACCACGCTTAAGACAATCCAGACTGTTCGCATGTGTCGTTCCAAGATGGTGGAACGAGCTACCAAGCTCCACAAGAACAGCAGAGTCCCTGTCTGTTTTCAAGAAACTCTTGAAGACCCACCTCTTCAAAGAGCATCTCCTATCCTAACCCTAACCCGTACCTCTACCCCCCCACAGCTCCTTCTGTAGCCCCTCTACCTCTATCTCTATCTCACCACTGACTCTGATCAGTGTTTCTGTTCTATATAGTTTATTGTCATTGTGATGAGAAATGTAATATTGTGTCTACTCTGTAAGTCGCTTTGGATAAAAGCGTCTGCCAAATGCATAAACATAAACATAAACATAAACATCATTTTGTGGTGCATGAAAGAAGGTTGGTTTTTAGGCCTTATGTCTTTATCGTGTTGGGCATGAAACTTTCTAACAAATGATAATCAGGCTTACACAGCTCGGCATTTAAACCATTAAGCAAACAGTTTGTGATATGAACTTTGTTGCTTCTGACTTCCAGTGGACCATAAAGGCATCCATCTGTCAGAGAGCCTGAGGGTCCTCTTCTCTCAAACAGCCAGTGACATTTTACTCTGCTATGGTTACTTGTTTTGTTTTCAGTCAACTGGTGATTTCTGCCAACAGATGCCTCGGAAATATTCACACTCGGACTTTTGATGTATTCATGTTTCCCCTCAATCACATATGCAGTGTACTAATTTACTGGTAATCCTAATGCAATCAAACCACATGCAAATACCCTTATATGTTATATGCACACTGTATATATGTATGTGAGTGTTTGTATAGATGGGGAAAAAACACTTTCATAGGTTAGAAAATTATCAATTCATAAACATGTCTTTTATAGATGACATTTTTCTAGTTCCAGCTGGCTCTCTATGCCATCATAAAATTAAAGTATGCTGTGGAAATTTAGGTCTCTCGTCTATTTGATTCCTAAACATTTGCTTCAACATATCTCAACAGGCCACCCACCAGAGAATTCACATTATGGTGTAAATAAAGTGACGAATAGAAGCAAACAGGAATGTTCCCTCTATTATACCCAGAAAATGTGTGACATGCCACTTTGTTAAAGGAGACGTTTAATGAACTCGTACTGCCACTTGTACTGAAAGCGCATTCCTATGAAATCTGATTTATGTATTTCATTTATTTTAACTGTTGCTGAGGAATGGCTCCGTCTGACGGCCATCGGTTATAACTCAAGACAGTTTTCTTGGTGTAAGAATTTCTGTGTACATATTAAGTCTTGTGCTGAAAAGAACAATCCAACAGCATTTTGTGTGTTATATTTAATCTGCCCTTTCTTGTCTAATCTGCAAAAAGAACAGTTTCTGCTTTACACATCAGAAATAAATGCATTGAATGGCCATGACATGATGACGTGTGCTGTTTTTATTTTCTTAGTCTGGCAGTGTTTTGCTGTTTTTCCCAGCTACTGTATCCTTTATACCAGTGGAGCCCTGTTCAGGGTTGTTGGCAGGCTGGAGTTTATGTCCGATGCCACTGGGTAAGAGCTGGGGTACACCCCGGATGGGGTCACATTTCAGGTTTTGATTCATCAGTCTTCTCTATGAATACTGAATATCCGCTCGGCAATAGATAATCTCTCCCATTATATAGCAGAGAACAGGGGAAACCAGCGCTAAAAGAATAATGTGACTAATCATTGCACTCTGTCAGTCTCCATGTACTAAGTATGAAGACAAATCCAACTATAAAACAACACAGCAAATCTTTAGTATCAGTGTAAAGCATTGTGTGTTATGCATACACAGATGTAATAGCTATTCTTTCACCTATAATTTACTTGTTCACATACAGTACTCATGTCAAGACTGTCAAAAATGATTTAAACATGAATTACCTGCTGCGTACAAATAAATATGATTTTTGTCCATCAAGTGAGATTGTTCAAAGTTTGTAAGAAAGAAAAACATATCCATTCACAATTATGTCCCCTTCATTCTCTGCAGTTAATCCACCAGCAGACATTTGCTATGTGGTCAGATAAACCCCCGTTAAGTAAATTAACATCTGCAGAAACATTAACAAAATATAGCGTACATTAGCTGAACAAGCGATGTCTTCGAGGTTAGTATAACAGCAAATTAAATCAAATCACTCAAATTGCTGTTCTCATCTAGTGAAATTGGTTTGGTCCAAACTGTAAAATTGCAGCTCTGTCTTTGCTAACATGTTCAGCCCTCTGCTTGGGTTCAACTGTGTGGATTGCCAGCTCAGCATTTCAGCAGCAAGTCATTTTCTTCCAGATGGTATGATTATGTTATTGTCCGTGTTAAACTAACTGAAGTATGTAATGACTTGAATAAAGAACAGTGTTGCTGGAGGACAGTGTTCTCATATCTGAGCTTTATTGTCTCCTAAGAATTGTTCATTGATATCAAACACTGCAGATGGCCAGTTCTAATGATAACGTTCAAACTCTGTTTGTGTTGCAGTAGTTAATAATTCTTCTGTATTTGTACTATTTGAGTAATTTGGTTAACAAAATTAAGTTGAGACTGATCTTCTTATGACACATATAGAACATACTTAAAATTTGCCCAAAAAGCTCAAACACAGTGGAATAAACTGAAACTTCACAGACATTTAATAATGGATTAAAAGACATGATTGAAGTCTTGAAGCATTTAGTCAAGTTTACAAGAAATTATCTAATTTTATTCTTAGTTTTTTTCTTTTTTTCAGTCAGGTTAAAAGGGGCTCTTAAGGCTGTTTGGTTTTGATTGAGAAGATTTCTTGCCCAGGTATTCATCAGTTTTGAGTACAAGATTAACTACACCTGTCTTTTCAAAGAAAACCTTTCTGGAATCCTGACTAGTCAGAAGCATATTTTTGATATAGTGATACAGCCATCTACTGGTCATAATTTGTAGTTGCTGCTTACTTTTAATTTGGTTGCTCTTTAAAACAAGTTCAAACAAATTTTCTGAGTTGAAATGCACATTTAAAAAAACTTCATTATATAAGAGGAGGATGCATTGAATTGACCAAGAGCTTGTGTAAGGTAAAAAATTGTAGGCATCACTCTACAATTAATAAACCAGCAAAACTCTACACATACATTTTTTTCCTCCTTTAAAAATGTAACATTAGTGAGGATTTTTTATCCCAAGGAAAAGTGTTACATCTTTTATTTTCAGGTAAAGAAATTGAAAATTGAAATGCATTTTAATTATTTAGCTAAATAACCTAAATTAATTTCCAAGATATATCAACCCTAACCCCAATTAATGCCTGATGTTGGGTTCCCCTGCTCCCCTCAAACTGTCCTCTGATTATGCAAAAGGCTTACGTTAAATGACCTCAGACTTAAAATTAGAATTAATATTTGATTTAATTTTCTGTTATGTGTCATAAATGAGCATTATTATAATTATTATAATTTGTGCCGTGATAACAGGTCCAGGATAATAAATAGGCAGACTTCAATCCTTACAAACAGCAAGTTTATTATATTTGTTTCCAATTTAGCAGTGGACATTGTACAATCTCAAATATGAAACAAATAAACAACTATAGGCACAACACATAGCCAGAAATGTTACTTGAAAAATGACCAACAAAAAGTGAAAAACAAGCAGTGTTAAGGTCAAATGAATAAAAGCGCATGCTGCTGCATTATCTTTGTTTTTTCCATATATCTGATTCACTTTGACATTGACATTTCCCTCAAAGAGAGCAATATGGTGACCTTTGCATGTGGCACTCAATGTCACATCTCCAGTTTGAGATCTGTCAGTGTGACAGATCAGATCAAGCTCCCATGCAGCCTCAAGAGGACTGGAGAAATAGAAAAGGCAGAATAAAGTAGTCATGACTGCTTCAGTCTGTCTCAAGTGTTGAAATGTGTAAAATGTTACCTTGACTCTTACTGACCCTGTCTGAAAAATGATTTTTATGCAATGGATTAATTGCTTATTGCTGGAAAAAAAAAAAAAACATACTGTGGCAAATATTTTTTTGAAAATGCATCACTAATATAAAGATATTTTTTTAAGTTAATGGAACTCTCATAAAAAAAAGTAGGCTCCGTTTCCTCCGTTTAAAAATAATAATTAAATTAAATTAAAGTAAAAAGAGTATCTATCAACACCGTGAGAGATTAGGTTATGTGTATGAAATTTTGAGCATTATTATGGGTCCATTATACACCTCTAGTAGCTGAGTTATTTCAATATGATGATGTGTTTAAACAAACAATATATGACATTTTTTTATTTTCATTAACTTATGCTCCCCATGAATTTGTTACTAAATAAATGACAGGATAGAAACTGAAGGACGGCATAATGTATAGTGCAAATAGAAATCTCTGCATCTATTGAGACTGTTTTTTTTCAAATCAATACTAAATTGCATAATTATGCTGGTAAACTTCACTGTAAATTATAGCTCTCCATTCTTCTGTGTGCTCGACTGGTTAGCATTCATCTTACATGACCTTGAGCATACCTTCTATTGCGTATTATGTGTAGAGTTGTTAGTACATTTGGGTGTGACGCTAACTGCACCGCTCAAGTTTGCGACATCAACTCTAAAGATGGCAATAATTGCGATTATTCGGTATATTACAGATTGATGCACAGATTGATGTATATCACTTAAGGTCATGTATATTACCTTTGCAAATTAATCGGCATGATTTCCATCCAAAGATATCTTTGTCAAAGATACATTTATAATCTTTGCTGATAACGTGTATATTCGTAAGTGAAAGGTCGTTAACATAAACTAATCCACAAAACTCACATGGTTTTATTGCTGTTCCCTTGGTAACAAGCAAACCCTTGCCCTTTTAGCCTACTGGCATTCGTGTGGATCGTACCACTTTTCTTTTAAATCGGGGGTGTAAGTATGAACACGTCCTAGAATTCATTATAATTGCCCGTAATAGACCTCTTAAAAAATAACTTGACGTTTCTGATACTTTTCTACACCTTTGTGTTTGCTATGTTGGTTTTTAAGTTCATAAATTATATTTTAGATCGTATTTGAGCATCGCACTACACCCCGAGAAACCTCGTCATCACATTAAACTGACGGTCGTACAGTAAGCTGTCAAAAGCTTGTTGCTTAAATCTGTGTAACGTAACGAAGTAAAGAAGAAATTAGGCCGGACAAGATTAAATTCTTTAAAGAGGGCCAACAATGTTTAGCTGTTAGACGGGCGTTTTGAGAACACTTGGCATGTTGTTTTCGTTAGTTCAGTTGGGTGTCGTCCGTCTGTCCTAGCTGCTGCGTGATACCGTTTCCAGAGGAGGGCTGTTGGTGCCTGATGATGAGGTAAGCAGAGCTTCTCCTCAGCTACACTGGCTAACATAAGCTCATACATGCTAAAGTTAATGTGCTCTTGAATGCTAACACGTGATAGTCCATTTGCTAGCTTATTTTTTTGGCTAGCTTACGTGGAGGGTAAAAATGAGAAATGGAAATCAGTGCTATTCTCGAACTGTCAACCTGTGCAATTGAGACCGTATGACGAACGTCAGGTAGATGACTCATTAGTTATTATGCTAGCAAACCATTTGAAAATATCCCTTTGCAACTTTGGGAGATCTATATGATACACAAGACGTCCCCTAGCTCAGTTTATAACGTAGATATAACAGTGGTGTACATCGTCATCTTTGTCTGGTAGGATAGCTTTGGAAAAAACATATTGTTTCTTCAAAATCAGTCAATGACCATGTACCTTAAGGGAACAAAATCACAGTTATTATAAAGTAATTTCAAAGGTGTCTCACAACACAAAATAATATTAGCAAATATGGCTTTATGTATATGTTGGCCCTCATGGGCACATTTTAAGTTAAACTTATGGCAAAGACAGAGCATTTCATTTAGAAACATAATAGCTTGAATGATCAGTAATGAGTTTTTCTTTTACCTGTAGTAACTATAGTATTTGTAAAGCAGGTAAATAAGATAATGTGATACTTTTTAAGTGCATTAGGGATTAAAAATGTAGGCTAAAAAAACCTGATATAGCTCACCACATGTGAAGTGTACGCAAATAGAAGGTATATGTAAAGGAACTGACATAATCTGTTTTTGGGGGGACTTTTGAAGCTATTACATGCTTGAATGTAATCTAAAAGGAACCTGCCAAAAACCTATGTGTGTAAAGACTAACTGTGTGTAAATACACAGATACAAAGTCTGATTGTCTAAAAGTCTTTGTGTAGTTTTATTTTCTTAAAGCACTGAGTAAGCATAGAAGTTATCCAACTGATATGATAGATATACGGTCAACAGGAAGTTTTCCAACAGAGCAACAGCTTCTGATTTCCTATTGGATAGTTCTGACAGGGAGGGTCTTTCCAGAGGCCAGCACGCAGACAGGAAGGGGGTGGCTGGGAATGTTTCACTCAGAGACAACCAGACAATCTTTTTTTTACTGTTGAGAAGAGAACATTTTTGGTCTCAGTATCTACTAGACAGAAAGAGGGGTAAGATCTCTTTGTTGTCAAAGTCCTAACAAGGAATCGAAATAATGCCTTTAGACTGAATGATAAGCTGCAGACAGAAGTTTAGTGCTGCATGAATTGAGAGAGGCAGGTTTTCTCGCTCCTTTTCCTGACTTGCGCCTAAAGGAATTTGCTGCAGTATGCTGTGGTATTGCAGAGGAGGAAGGGGAAGAACAGCAGCAGTGTTTATGTTGGATCTTGGCTTTCAAGTACTGCTCTCACCGAGCGTGTTATTTGTTCGGAGTGTAGAAACTTTTTACCTCCTCAACTCATTTATATAGCTCATAAAGGAACCACCTTTGCTCTCTACTGAGCAGCTTCTCATGTAGCTGCAGGTTTAGCGTAAAGGCTCTAGTCTGACGCTTTTGTTAAACTCCCAACATGGTGTGTGAATGCGTGCATGCATGTATTTTGCTTGTACCCTTGTAATCTGTACACACTTTGGTGGATTTTGACTGAACACATCTGATCAGCTGCTTGTGAATTCTTGTAAACAGGTTCAGAGAAGCATTGTATTTCAAAATGCATTTCACAGAATAAAGTGCCAACCAGTAAATGGAGTTTTTGACTATTATAAAACATTATTACAGACAAACCTTGTGACTAATGCCCCTTATTGCAATTCTGTTAAATGGAACTTGGCAAAGATCATGCATTGTTATTAAAATAATTGATTCCCATGACACCGCTCAGCCACACATTCCAACTGGCAAAACAGCTGTGGCTCTGTGCACCTCATGAACATCTGATTGTTAACTGTGTGTGCTTGTGTGAAATCTGTTCCAAACAGATCTAGCTTTTACTTCACAAGGTTGAAAATTTTTCAGTGGAAATGTTCAGCATAAGTACTAATTAGGATGAGAGTTAGGTTCGATTTGATATACAAATCAACAAATAAACTGGTTCATTATAGAAATATTAGTTTAATTCATTCAGATTATCTGATAATAGGTGTCTTATCAGTGTGAATTATTTATGCTTTGTATGAAAATATGTGTTTTTGAAAAGTGGAATCAGGAATATAGAGATTTTCTCCCTGTTTTTTTTCTCCAGAATTTGGTGTTTGTATTCAACCATATTGTTTTTACGTCGACATTTTTGTCTGGTGGCATGATGTCACAGCCGTTAACAGTTTCCTGATCAGCCAGTTATTTCTTACTGTGTTTTCAACTTGATTCTAAGTTTTAGCTGTAGTGCGACTGCAGAGTGAGAAAAACCTCTTGCTTTATAAAATAAACAACTAATTATGGAACATGGAATGTTTTACACTCAGTGAACACATTAGATGTTCAGAGACAACAGCTATCTGAAGACAGAATGCCATAATTACCTCTATGTTTTTTTGGATGATATTGTTATTATATCAGTATCTTCTTTTCTTCCAGGTCCCCAACAGAAGTGCCTTTGAGAAGACAACATCAGTCTAAAATTAGTCTATAATAATTTTTTCGTTGTTGCTCTCTTTAATGTCAAGTATCAACCCAGGATACCTCAACTCCAAGACCTTTGACATCAGTTTGCACACACCCAGCACCTAGAAGGCTTTTACTTGAGTCATAATATAAAAGCAAGAGATGTCAGAGAATAAAGACCTGAGAATGTTACACTAAAGTGGCAAGTCTGAGCTCCCTCACTGGTTCGATCTGTACAGAGCCTTTCACTGCAGGAATACACAGACTTTAGCTTGCAAAAAAAAAGTTTTATGTGACTTACGGCTGATGGATGATCTCTAAGTGATTGACTAGCCATCCATTTCTCTGCTGCAGCTGATGGAGGAGTCACCGTCTTGTTGCTAAAGAGGATAAGTTGCACTTGCAGCTGAACCTTTGACTAAACTCGAGCTTTCGCTGTGTAAAGCTTTAAATATTAACTTTTACCCTAAAACTTTTTGTGTTAAAAAAAGAACAGTTGGACATGGCGTTGAATATGTCCACAGTAAGAGACACAAAATGGCTGACTTTGGAAGTTTGTCGGCAGTTTCAGCGAGGAAACTGTTCACGTAGTGATGAGGAATGCAAATTTGCACATCCGCCGAAGAGCTGCCAGGTGGAGAATGGCAGAGTTATCGCCTGCTTCGATTCACTGAAGGTAAGATATAGTATTGATCCCTTATTAATTATATTTAATATGAATTATTTTATTATACCTTTTAAAAGAGAGGAAAAAACTTATAAAAATGTTTCTGTCATGCCTTTTTGTTTACGACAGCATTACATTTATTGGCATACAAAGTCTTTTAAGCCCTTGAAAGTGTTTATCATTGGGAAATACTCTCGTTTGATTTGAAGTCTCTTACCTTTAAAATAAGGAATTCTCAAAGCATTAACATGCCAAAGAATACAAACTAAAACCCATATAAAAGTGTAAAAATGTATTAACCCTATATGTCTAAGATTCTGACTAATATAACCCTTTTTCCAAAGAATAGAGCTGCGTAACAGTTCAATGTTCCAATCGCTTAACTGATGTGGATCATTTTAAAAAGTCTGGCCGTCAGTTGGATTAAATTCAGTTCATCCTATTGCTTTCTCAGTTGCCCTGTATGGGGTCAGGACTACTTTAATCCACTCCAACACATTCACTATCACACCCCAAAACAGCTTTACTCCAGGATTATATTCACGTTCTGTCATCTGCTCATCCCCTTATCTCCTCACTCTACATTTATGCACAGATACTCGGTGCCCAAGTGGTCAAAGGCAAAAAGGATTAATGCAAAATACTCACCTTATTCCTTCATCCAAGGATAAGGTATTCGTGTGAAATGTTATTTGAGAATTTATCGGGCTGCATGGTATTGTAGTTCTTTATCGCTTTGTTAAGGCACAATATTTAATTTTGATTGCTACAGGCTTCTTACAAGGAGTTGGTTGTTTTAACTTATTTTAATTAGATGCAGGTTATGTAGATTAACGGTGAGAGATGTTTAGTTTTTTTTAATAAGCTTTTTATTTAGCATAAGAGTGAGGTACAACATCAGTATGGAGGGTTGTACTGAGTTAATGTACTGTTCTGTTGTTATTAGATAATATTCCAAATATTTTTTCAGTAGATTTGTATCAAACAGAAAATGAAATTGCATCGTATAAATAAATAAAAAAAAAACTACATTTCTGTTTTTGTATAAAGCTATTACCAACTAAGAAATTCTCAGGAAAACTATAAAGCTTAACTCTTTATTTGATGGAACCTTGGTTTGGAAAGTATCACATGCAGTTCACTCTTCCTCTTCTGCTTGACTCAGTCCCGTCTTTTTTTCTTTCCTACAAACAATATGCAGTGTCCGAGGAAATGAGAGCCCTGAGGACAAATTTTATATTTCAGGGTAATGTTCTTGATATAGTGTTGTATTATCATAGTCTTCCCTTTTTAGATTATGTATTCTTTACTTTTCAGTTGTGCCTTACTGGCATGAAAAAAAACATCCTCGTTAACCTACCGCTGTTCCATTCATAATATACACATGTCAAAAAGAGTGGGCTCAGCCCCTCATGAATGAGCCTTTGCCTATATTAAACTGGTGTTGCATGATAAGCACAGTGACAACAGTATTTCTGGCTCAGAGGCATCAGGGATGGATCGATTTTAACCTCTCATTCCACCTGTGTACTTTCACAGATGAGACGGTGAGTAACGAAGGGCCAGTTGTTCCATCTTGACACTGTACGTCTGAATTATTACCCCGTAACTACAAAGTTAGAGAACATAGACATAGATCTCCAGGTGAAATTTTTTACACTTGTTAATATACTAAAATGTTTTATCACAGTGATAAAAGATACTCATATTTCCAAGCAAGTAAATCTGCAGTTTGGTCCATTAGTGTTGATGAGAAAGCTTTGCTTGCTGCAACAGATAACTTACAGCCCTGTGCTAAACAATGTTTCTCAGGAGATCCATAGTGACTATATCTATATAAAAGGAGAGATTTAGAGTTGCTGGTGGGACCGGAGAAGAAGTTTGTAAGCAGATGTCCAAGTTATTTTAACATTCAACACGATATGATCTAAACTTCAGTAACTGTCAGCCCATTGCATGAGAGTCAACACAATGGTGTGTCATAAGCCAAAATTAAAAAAATATTTGTTGTCAAAACTGTTCTGGAGAACCTTCATGTTCAGGTTTTACTCTCTCTCTCTCTTTTTTTCTCTAAAAAATGTTTTAAAAAGAGAGCCTGATGAGTTTGAGGTGGAGTGAGAGGTCTCTCACTTCCCGCCCCCCACCCTTAAAGCAGCCAGCTCTGAAGGCCATTGTTTAATGGGATTCAGGATGCAGCTGCTGTGCTAAAGCCAAATGATTGAAATATGTCCCACACATTTTAAGACTCAATTGTTCAACAATCAATAAAAAAATGAACTTTTTGCATAACAGCTATGACTAAACTTAGAAGGACTTTTTACTGATATGTGTAGTTGCTGGCCGTCTGCTTATAAATAGAAACAAAAATACCCCGAAACATGTTTTCCTAATGATTTTCGTCCTTTTTTCCGCGTTGGCTTTTACACTGATGGGTTTTCTATATGATTTGTTTGATCTTAGCTAGTAAACAAGGAGACAAATCAAAACAATTGACTGAACCTCCCGAACACAAATTACCCCTGTGACGTTTAACTTTATTATACAGGGTTATGTGCACAGCCTTTGGTATTTTAATGTGGATCTCATGACTTCTGCTAAAGCAGCGGATAGTTTGCTGATGCACAAAGAAAGCCTGAACTGCTCTGCTTTATATAAAGACAAAAAACACGGTGGATGTCTTCTCATGTGGTTACATCAGCAGAAATAAGTTAGAGGAGTCGAGATTACTTGGATAAAACTGAGGAGAGTGGAGTAGATATCAATATCCCTGGACAAATATTTTCAAATGCGTTTAGGTTTGACTATGTCTGAACTGGGGGCATATTTGCCTCTACGGAAAACCAAAATATTCTCAAGAAAACAGTCAATCGGATGGATGTTCATATAAAAAATGGAGAGTGTTTGTACTGTCCTTGAGCCAAAGAGAGAATAAAGAAAGAGTTGAATAAATTTGTTTTTTTAAGTTTATGTGACATCGTCTTTTGTCATCTTAGTGAGGACTTCAGGCATGGGCAGACTTACCAAGTCCTGCTCCTTTATTAAGGCTCCTTCAGACGGTAAATACGAAATGTGATCAAATAAGCTTCTTTTTCTTTTTCTCTGAATGCAGGGCAGATGCTCAAGAGAAAACTGCAAGTATCTCCATCCACCCTCACACTTAAAAACCCAGCTGGAGATAAATGGACGCAACAATCTCATCCAGCAGAAGACGGCAGCAGCTGTGCTCGCCCAGCAGATGCAGCTTATGATCCCAGGCCCCAGTCTGCAGTCCATGGTAAGGTCCTCATTATCATGCAGGAGGATCGGATTTTCTCTGACGATGCTTGGCTCAAGTGTAATATGTGTCCTCTCCCTTCATAGCCAACATTTCCTGTTACACAGGGACTTGGCTCTAATGCTAATCTTGGTTACGGTTCATACATCACATCCTTGAATCATGGGATGAGCCTCATTCCCTCAGACATCCTCTCCAGCACCCCGGTTCTTGTTCCCGGCAGCCCAGCTGTAACAGTTCAGTGCTCCTCGTCCTCCTCTTCTTCCTCCTCTTCTTCTCCCTCACAGAAGTTGCAGCGCACAGACAAATTAGAGGTATTCATCCACCCTAATGTTTGGTTTGAACGCTCATATGTTGTGGCATAAAGCGCTTACCTGCTAATGGCTGAACTGGTCCTCTTCCAGGTATGTCGTGAGTTTCAGAGGGGAAACTGTGCAAGAGGCGAGACAGATTGCCGCTTTGCTCACCCCAGCGACAGCCCAATGATCGATGCCACCGATAACACCGTCACTGTTTGCATGGACTACATCAAGAGCCGCTGCTCCAGGGAGAAGTGCAAGTATTTCCACCCGCCCGCACACTTGCAGGCCAAAATCAAATCCAGTCAACAGCAAGCCAGTCAGACGGGCGTGGGAGCCCAGGCCTCAGCTGCAGGCATGGTAAGACAGACACTCATCCTTCTGGTGACTCTAATTGGTGTCCCTGTGGTTGACCCTGCTGAATGTTGGGGTCAGCACCTTTTCTATTCAGCCGTTTGTAATGGTGCATTTAGGATATACCTTTAGATCCAAAAGAATATACTTTTAGACTTATTTTCATTTTTCGGAGTATATAGATTTAGATTTGTTTTATTCTCTCTTTTTGCACATAAAGGCCTTTCCTTTCCATGCTGTTGAATCTGTGTTTTCAGAGTACTATTAATACTTAATAAATGAATACACAGTTTTGGTCAGGGCGTTTCACAGCAGCTGCTTCCAAAGCAAGAGGAAACATGGTGGCTCAATACCACATGCACTGCAAACAGAAAAGCCCCCAGTTACAAAATATTTCTTCTTAATAACTTATAAGACATTGTCAAGCATCTCTTCACATACATTATCATATGAGGTAATCATACTGTTAATCCACTTTATATTCATACAGATTTGCAGAGGTGCAATATAGTTCACAACTTGAATCACATTTTTAATTAAAAGAAATTACATTCTGATCAAATCACATAATAAATTGTCAAATAAACGTTACAGAAATGTGCAGGTGTCATTGAGCCACCATCATAATGCACAACTTAAAGAATTTCTAGTTTTTTTTGTTGTTTTAAGTTGTATTTTATACTCAGTGTTGGTGAGGTTCATTCCACCTAAAGCTTTGCTGTAAATGTTGGTGGAGCTCCACACTGTGCTTTACGACATCGGCTGCATGGTGTATCTGTTGATTTGTGGTTTCGCTTTTGGCAGGCTCTCATAAAACCAAGCCATCTTTCATTTAATGGTAAAGATTTGCAGCGCTTGCTGTGTTCCATTGATATCCCCCTCCTCAAAGCCATAAGATCTGTGTAACTTATTTATGTTAATTATTTAATGTGCGCACACTGCCGTGTTTTCGTTTTATTAACAACTCTCATGTCACGCAATGTTATCAGGTAGTCAGTGTTCAGTTTATTGTGTACATTATTGTGCATCACTGTACATTTTTTATTGCTAAATCTATTTGCAAAATTTGACTAACTTGTTATTGAATCCCTTAGCCAACCTGCCGTTTAATCAACTGTTTTGGTTACTGTGCACGTATATTGTGTCGTATGTAGTAAACTACATTCAGATTATTTTCTTTTTGTTTTCCCCTTCTCACCTATCCACAACGCTGTCCTCCATGATGCACCTCTGCTTGCTGTTACCTGTATGTTAATGCGCTTGAATCCCATTGGCCCACTGCCATCATGTGCTCGCTGCCTGCTATTAAAAGACTCAGTCGACTGCCAAAGCAATGAAGCGACCCCTCGAGGCAACTGTAGACCTGGTATTTTCACCTTTCGCTTTGCATGTAGCTATTAATTTTACTGATAACTTTTCATTTACCTCATTATGGTTTAATTCCTTTTTTAAGCTTCATATAGTTCTTGTGTGTACAGTCATTCATCAGAATGTTTAAAATCTATTTTTCCTTTTGGTTAATACATTATTCCAGTCATATTTATATCTTACAACTTATGTGTCAACAGTCACTTTTAATGCTTAGTCATATTAGAAAATTAATACCAACAGTTACAGTATTTAAGCACAAGGCACATGGAGGGAAAATTCAGGAGCTTTCCTGTTGTCTCTTTCAGGCCTTTCCTCACAGTCTCCTACAACCTTTACCAAAGAGACCGGCTCTTGAGAAGAGCAACTGGGGCAACTCACTCCTCACGCCCAGTTTATTGCACTACCAACAGGCTTTGGCCAACACACAACTACAGCATCAAACGGCTGCATTTTATCCCACAGGTGAGCCTCTAATCCAACCTGAAGTTCTTTATTTCATACCAAACCACCATTCTGCGTTTTGAATTTGCTCAAAGTGTCATAAACCCTTTCTGTTATTGTTTAAGCGAAAGAAATTCAATTTATCCAGATAAACAGCTTCCTTATTATTACCACTAACAGGCACATAGCAGATGATTTCACTTGTCCTCTAAATACAAGCATGGATATTAGAAAGACAATCAATTATTGCTTGTTTTGTTTAGCTATGGTGCAAATCAAATTTGAAGCACTTTTTAAAATTCTAAATTAAAAATGTGTCTCACAGTCGATAAACTAAGCTGCATATAACAAACAAAGGACTAACCAGAAATCAGAAATCAAATTTGGTGGATGAAACTGCAAACGCAACCAGTCCTCCTGGTCTAATGCGTGAGAACAAAAGCAACAAGGTCCTCTCTCTGGTATGTTGGGCTGATTGTTTGCCATCAAACAGTGGTCTCACCAGATGAAAATATCCACAAAAAGATAAATTACAGGGCATTCTATTAACTGTGGGCTAGCTTCTGCATCTTTTGCAGACCTTTTTTTTGTGTGAAAAAAATGAAAATGAAAATCTGTCCATGCTTGAAGAATGTTGACAAAAGAGCCCGCTTAGTTAGCATATCCAGTCAGTGTTTGTCCATCTCAAATGAGACTCATAATTAGAAATATTGTCACTTGTCCGTCAGCTTAGTCATGAAACCTCTGGAGTGTGTGTATTTGAAAACCTATTGTTTTTTGTTGCTTTTGCAGAGTAAAACAAAGGATGTATTTCCCACTGTTTTTAGTAACAGGTCTGTTCTGCAAGCCATCTGGATAACTTTGCTTGTGGCTCTCAGGCATTTTTGTGTGTGTTTACTGAACTTATGGTGTGTTTCTGTTTTAACCTGATTGATATGAGTCAGTCTTGCTAAAATACCTACTCTCTTTCCATTTCATAATCATGCAGGTTCTGTCTTCTGCATGACTCCCGCTAACAGCGTTGGTAGGTCTCTTTCTCATGTTTTACAAACGTCCCGTTTTCGGTAGATAACACTTGACTATGTTTGAATAAGATTCCTGTTTTTTTTTTAGCACCAGAAAACACCAGTTTTAATCAAGAGCCTATATCAAATGAGGTTACGATGAACAGAGAAGAATATTTAACTTTTCTCTGTGAATATCTTTGGCTCTGTGGCTCCTTTTGCGCACTATTCACTATTCAGCTCAGGAAGCCTTCCTCTAACTGTTCTGGTAGTTAACATAGAAATCTTTGGTGGGTCCCGTTTGTAGTTTCACCATTAGGAAAGATTGGGAAGTCTGATCAGCATCCCTGGTATTCATACTTTGTTTACTAAAACTCTAATTGTCGTAAAAGAAAGTCGGATCTCTGGTGGCATGGTTGCACGTCATCTCTTATGGGATGTCAAATTCTGCTCAGATTTCCTAATATTATTTCTAATCAGCCTTCCTTTTATGTTCTCCCCTGCTGTCTTGCTTTGCCGTGTGATCACATGCCATCTGCTGGTCTAACCCAATGATGGCTTGCTGCTACTGGCATTTTGTATTTGCCTGGCAAGAGAGAGAACATTGCTATGGTTACCATAATGCTCCACCTCCCTTTTCATTGCTTTCATGGTTCCGCTCCTGAAAAAGTCCCCATGATGTACAGTGCTACGCCTGCTACTGTCTCTGCAGCAACTACTCCTGCCACAAGTGTTCCCTACGCAGCAACAGCACCAGCCAATCAGGTTTGCTCCTTTTTAAAGCTTTCTGTCACAAATCCTTGAGCCCTTAATAAGTGCTTCATCTTTAAATCAGGGGAGGCGCTCCTTTAGCGTAGAGGTGCTCTGCTTGCATTGCCGTCATAAAGCTTCTTGTACCTGTAGGCCTTCAGCAGAACTGCTCCGCTGAATCTCACCCTTCACTTGTGAAAACAACACCCGCAAACAGTGTGTCATTTATTTTTGACTGCATGTTTTATGCTTGTTCAGTGTCAGTCTCTTGTTTAAACCAAATGTTTGCTGGAAATAATGTTCATTTCACACATCATGTGGGTGCTATAAAGCAGTAAATATTATTTTTGTGTGCATGATTCTGTCTGTCTGAACAGTATTTCAGTCTGATATGGTTTGATTTAAGCCACACCGTGGTCACCGGTCAATCTAACTGTTGAAGAAACTCCTGTACTTTGATGTTAGAGTGCAGCTGTAAGTTCAGGGAAAGGTTTTCCTTTTTCACATATGTCTAGGGTTAGTCAGACAGATTAAGGTTTACTAAAAGTAAGGTTGGCATATCTTTTCCGATGTTGTAAGGGTGTGTTCACTCTTTAGGCAAGGAATAACAAACTGGGGCAGTCATTATTTTTCAAATGGATTTAACCTTGTTGTTTAACAAACAAACAGACCAAAACATGCTGACCGATATCTCTGCTCCTAAGAAACAGCATTGTAAAAACAGATGTTTTTAAATGAACATTTCTCAGGAAGGTACTGTGTTCTGTTACCAAAAATAATTTCAGAGAAGCTGTGCTACGACAGTTCTGACCTGAACCCCAACTCATCCTCTGTTTGTCCAATTAGAAACTTAACAACTAAAAGGAAAAGATGGTGCCACCCAAACTATAAGAGTCAACACACCCTAATTCTCCAAGATTTGTTGCCCCGTTGAAGAAACGCTTTTGATCTCTTGCGGCATATTCAGTTTCTCTGTTTTGCTTCTTAAACAGATCATCCTCAAGTAACCATCAGAAACAGAAGTCAGTGCCATGTTGCTGCTGGTAAAGGTCCTCAACAGCCCCTCTGTAAATACTCTACTCACCTCCCACACAGTATACAGCAAGCTGCATGCTCTTAATGTCACTAATAAAAAGCCTGTCGACATTCACTTGATATACAATGATAAATTACATTCAGTTATGAGGACTGACATCAGCGAGGATTGTTTTATGCGCCCGCGTTAATGACGATGATACTTTTCACCTAAACCAGTTCTGATGAAGTCAGGGATGAAGCCATTGAGCCTGTTGCTCATGAAATCTATTGGGTTAGTCATGAACAAATATATCCAGAAAACTTTGAAAAGCAGACTGACAGCGCAGATACAGCAGCAAAACCTTTATACTAACCTTTAAACAACAGAAATATTGCTCCGTAACTATTTTAAAGTTAGTAACTATTTAAAGAGGAAATGATGGCGGATCTAATGTAGTTCGCTCATCAGTGTACTAACAGTTAAGTTTAATAGTTGTAGAGATTGTTACAGATTTATCTTCACTATATGAAACTTTTTTCCCCCTTCTTGAATGTGTTATTTATGCTAAGAGCATTTTGTTTGTTCATGATTGTCTATCTAGTGCCAGATTTGATTATTTTAAACAAAGCAGTTTAGGAAAGCACTTATTTAAACTTTACACTTCACATTGTTCAATGTAAATGGATAGCAGCTTTAGAGACATCCCTTTAAGATGCTCTTAGAGATCTCTTCACTCATCCTGGTCACTCTCAGAGAACTGGATCAGTGCTCCACCTCCTGGTGTGCCTTTGCATTGCATATACAGGTAGTTTGCTGAGAGATGATGCTGCATGATCCATCCAATGCAGATTCTTTCCTCTAAATTACCCCCCCTACACACAGACGCATTAACTATTTGAAAGAAGCTCTTCAAATGATTGTTCATGATGGTGGTAGAATTACCGATTTAAAATATATGCTGTTTTAACTTGATAGAACAGATAGAACATAGTAAGCCATGTTTATAGTTAAGAGTCACTACAGGCGTGAAAGTTAACTCAGTTAAAGGGTGTGGAATTACTACTGCTAATGTTCAGACTAAAGCTGTCGTGATCCTGTGAGGGTTGAGTATTATGTGAACTTAATGTTACAGTCTGTTGTCAAAAATGTATTCTTTGAATGTTACAAGTGCCTAAATAATTGTACATGCAAATACATTTAAGCATATTTAAAAGGCTTTGTGTGAGAATCACTTATTTAAATCTGCTAGTTTAGTCACAGACATCAGAAATAATTGAAAATGTGTTGCAATGCCATGTCAGTGCATTAGTATTTTGTGCGCACCTGGTCGGATTTAGTCTTAACATTTTTTTTTTCACCAATGTTCAGATGTGTTTGTCTGTACTGTGTAGAAGAAACAGTGTCAAGTTCTGAGTTGATTTCAGTCACTTCTGCGTTGATAAAGTAATATAAAGCAAGGTGAAATATTTGGTGTGGTAGGAGGTAACATTTTGGTGGTGTTTCATTGTTCATGGTCGATGCCACATTATGCAAACAGTCATTTTGATTTGCTATTTACAACAGACATAACAAAAAGTACATCTGTTAAAGAGAGTACCTTTTTTTCATTTATATTATCACTTTTGAATATGTTTCCTTAAGGTTTTGATTCCAATTTTGCAAAGTGTACAAATATCAACCTTTTGCTTCAATGTTATCTTTTGGGATTTGGTCACTATTTTCATTCTGTATTTTCCTTGTGAATTGTTTTACACTTCATTAATTGAATATTGATATGAGTTCACTTGCATATTTGGCTAGTTTTAACACTTTAAAATGTACATTTCTATTGTTTCATGACGAATGTAATTTATTAAACTAACTTTAGCTATGTCAAGTTCTTTAAAGGACCTTGGTCTGTTGCATTAGCCTATGACAAGCCGTTTCCAGGAATTGAATGTTGGAGGGAGAAGATGCTGAAGCGCTTCAGCCCTGTCATCTGTCGGGACAGTGAATATTTGTAAGGCCGGAGAAGGCCAAGGACTGGTGAAACCGCATGGTTCAAGATGCATCATCACACATTAGTATGATGAGTTATTTCAGTTATTTAAAAAGTCCTTTTATTTTGTCATGAATTCCCCAGGTAGAGCATTTGACCACCCAACTCTTATTTGACATTATATCTTATTTAGCATCAATTTCAGATCTGATTGAAATCAGAGACTTTAAAGAAGTTGATTGATGTCAGCCTTATGACCTCATTCATTATTTATTTTCCCCGTTAAATTTAAGGAATATGTTTGAATTTTGTTGGTCATTTTCAGCCTGTTTTTTATCCCTTCATGAAAAGGTTGTGGATGTTAAGAATGTTGGTCTGAATCTCGAATGGAAACATTTCTCTTTAGCACATTCTCAACAGTCAGACGGTTGAGACGACAGGCTGTTTTATGAACTCTGCCTTATCGCTGATCTATCCTTAAGTTTGTAATTAACCAGCAAATGTAAATTCCACATTGTTTCCGCAACTTCTTTTCTCAAATGCTGAATTCATCCATGGTTGCAGACTGCATTAATACCCAAACCCTACTCTGAAAGGCTTTATCTTAATAGAATTGGCTGGTTTGCTGTTATGTATGATTAAATTAAAGACTGGGGCATCTGTTAAAGCTGCGGTGCAGGTGCCATTCGGTTCCATCCAGGCAGTTAATTTCCTTTTTTTTTTTTAAATATGTGTGAACAGTTTTGTTCCTGTCAATTCTAGATTATGTAATATCTGATATACTGCAAATAAATTAATAAATGTATTGTTAATGCAACTTTGTCAGCTTTGTTTTATTTTACCGGATTATTTATTTTACTGTGGACTATTTTCCATTTCTTTACATAACACATAGTTGTGCAGAGCGTATAGGGAGATGTCGATAAGTCGTTGTCGATCTGTGTTGTTCGTGATGTGGAGCAGTTTTCAAACAACGCTCAAATTTCGCCGGAGGCAACTAAATGCAGCGTTACCATAGCAACAGCATCAGGTGCATTTTTTCCTCCTCCTGGATACACATCCTCCGCGCGATTGGACGAGCTCTCTTTTGATGTCACTAGGGCAACCGAATGATGGGAATTTTACCACATGAACGGAAATGTCAGCTCGATTTGACTGGCTCCCTTCGCGCGGCTCCCATTCAGCTGCGCGCGAGCCGTGCACGGCGGCGAGGCGGCCATTGGGCTGTTCGGACGTCCATCCGGGGAGGGAGGACCCTTTCTCTCTTTCTCTTTTTTTTTTTTTTTTTTTTTGCCTCTGGTACGGAAGCCGAGTGGGGACCGGCTGGTTACGCAGCGGCCGTGGGTCTCCACCCGAGAGTATGGCGGCTGGAAAACACACCGGATAGCGGAGCACAAGCCCGAGACAGAGACATGCCAGAGATGGTGAACAACAAACAAAGAGACGCAAGTTATTCTCTGAAGTGTGACTGTGGTTGTGGTGGCTGCTGTCTTCCGGGGGATGCCCGCAGCTTGAAACATCTCTCCTGCGGTTCATTCCCGGACGAACCCCAGCGTTTTTCCAGCGTCCCCGATGGGGCAAGTTTGTTTTTTTGGATGATGCACGGACAGCTGTGAGCGAAGCTGATGAAAAGCTGCACGCTCCCCATCGCCGGGTTCTCTCTCCTCTCTTTTCCCTGCAGATTTAGGAGAACTGCAGTGCTCGGATGCTCGCGTATATATCTGTCAGAGTCCGGCCTGCGATGGGGGAATTTCTACAATGAAATCCGTCTCGGGGCACGGAGTCTTTGTGCTGTGCCGTAGCTGAGCCGGGGTCCGGCAGAGACAGCGCTACTGACCACCCGCTCGGTGCTGGACGCGGATGGTGGATGCGATGCGCGCGCGAGCAATTTGAGTTCATTTCAATGTCGCGCGGAGATTGATACCTTTCGACTTGATTAAATCCACGATGCGCGAGTACAAAGTGGTGGTCCTGGGAAGCGGTGGGGTCGGGAAATCCGCCCTCACCGTGCAGTTTGTCACCGGGACGTTCATTGAAAAGTACGACCCCACCATAGAGGATTTTTACCGCAAGGAGATCGAGGTGGACTCCTCGCCCTCGGTGCTGGAGATCCTGGACACCGCCGGCACCGAGCAGTTCGCCTCCATGCGGGACCTGTACATCAAAAACGGTCAGGGATTCATACTGGTCTACAGTCTGGTCAACCAGCAAAGCTTCCAGGACATAAAGCCGATGAGAGATCAGATCATAAGAGTGAAAAGGTTGGTGGAATTTTGCAGGAGGAAAAGAGTTCTGACCATGTTGTGTGAAGTGTGAATGTTGAAGGCATTTTTTTCCCCACATAACATGGCCTTATGAGGGCCCCATAGTTTCAGGATGGGCTTTGGCCTGGTCTGGGAACTATGCTTCAATAAAGATGCTTCAATGCAAACAACAAAGCACCACATCTTATCTTATCACCCCAGTTTATCCAACACAAGCGTAGTTTTCTAGACTTCAGTGTCGAGCTTTAGACTTCTAACGAGACAACGGGGCTGATCCAAAGGAATTCACAGCGCACTGAACACTGTGTGTGATGTGAACTCTGAAGTCTGCCGGTACTGATGCTGCAGCCTCAGCGAAACACCCCGCCGGGGGATGCCCGGGCTCTGCAGACTGCTCCGAGTAGGTGCAGCATTCCCGGGGAAGCACGCAAAATAACACAAGTCTGCTAGTGCAAAGGAAACCCCATGTGTTCAAGTAAGAAGCCGCACGGCTTCCTCAGGAAAAGCAGAGCATCCGAAAGTGGCAGACTGAGAAATGCTTAGATAAGAGAGCTCACTGGTGCGAGCGGCTGATAGGTGTATGGGAAATGATAGTGCTCTTGTTATTCTTATCTAATAGGCCCCGATAGGGGGGACATCGTGTTTTCCTTGTCCGCCTCCTGACATTGCCTGAAGTCATGAAACCCATTGAGAGCGTAAATTTGCAGTGTCATGAATGCAGCTGCTTAAGTCACCTTTGTTAGAGGGAATTTGTGTATCTGTGCAGGACGCGCGCACTGAGCGCAGCTGTTTGGGGTCAGCGGCCGGCCCAGGTATCAGGACGAAGTGTTAAAGCCCTCCAGAGAACCATGCAGCTCCTACTGTTTACTGATAGTGCCATCTTGTTTGGGTGATACTCAGAATACACAGTCAGATTGTTGTTTTGTAGCTTCGACCAAAAACGGAAACATAACAACCATGACATGGTTTAGTTGTGTCATCTTTTTTCTTTTTCTAGTGTGAAGGCTTTTTTTAATGTACATCCCTAAAAAGTCCTATGAGGTCATGGCTCTTCTTGAAAGAATGAGGTCAGCTCGTTACCCCCGTGTGGGTTTGAAATTCTTAAGCATGGAAGAGTGCGTCTATGTGGAAGTATGTATATGAGAGCTCTCTGAGCTAAAGCAACCAAGCTGCTGTCTGATTTCACACCTACCGCTGGGGCTGTTTTCTTAATGCCACAGCAGGGTTTATTTTCTGGGTTGAGACATCACACTATCCACATGAAGTCGGCAAACCAGTTCACGTCAGGCCTCTGTCCTTTATCACTAGGGTAAAGGGGAAAAACAGGCTGGACTCTGTGTGTGAAAGAGCGCATTTCCCTTTGTAAATCTTCAGGTCATGCAGTCTTCACTTTACTTATTAAAGCTTTGGCTTGCATTCTGTTTGCCATTATCCCCAAATAGAGACTGTGAATCGCAGTTGCACGCACGTCTCAGTCAGTCGCGCAGTAATTTGGGAGCTGAGGTTTGTAGATGTCGGCATCTGTGTCAACACGGTGCGATTAACCTGCTTAAAGCAAGCCTGGTGACAAGAACAGAACTGAGTGAAGGCTTTAGTGAGGGAGCAGGAAAATCCCCCTTTGGTCCACGGTCCAGCATGCAAACGGAGGTGTATCAAAAGCCTCGATTTATTATAGTTGATATCCTGCTCAAGAAAACTTTTAAATGGATGTTACACAGTAAACTGAGTTCATGAAATGCTGGCTCGCTGATGCAACAGCTGACCAGAACTCACTTCTGTTTGTGTAATGTCTAAAAAAAGCGAATTAAGCAGCAGGATGTTACTGGAAGTGACTGGCCTCACACCATGTGATAGCTTCCATAATTCCCGGATAAACTGTATACATGCGGACGTATTTCCTGTGGAAAAGGCAAGGAATGAAATGCAGACATTTGTTACAGAACAACATATAAATAAAAACACAAAGACAATGTAATTCTGTCTATGTCAACCAGTCTGACAGTTGAGCTGTAATTGTGTAGCCCCGTTTTCTCTGCTAAGTGTGTCCTTTTCTCACAGTCTGTCTTGGGGTGGGAAAGGTCTAGGTGCATTGACAAAAAAATGTCCTGATGGGAGAAAAAATAAAACGTATAAAAAAGCCCCTTATATCACTTATAAACCCTCTTTTGTAAGAAGTAGCTTAAAGTATCAAACCAGTCATTTTATCCAAACATCCCATAAAAATGGAAATGCTTCACAGAAGTTTTTAGTGAGTACAAAAATGCCTTCAGTTCCACCAACAATGCAGTGTACTCTTGGATTAAACGTTTCTTGAAGTGATGCCAGCCTCACACTGGCATTTGTGTGTTTGGAGTGTACCAACCTTCCCAGTAAAAATGGCTTTTGATTGATCGAAAACGCTTGTCGGACAAAGCTGTTACACCTCTAATGTTCATCACAAGTTTAGTAATGTGCAAAAGCTCATTCTGCCACCTTTGTGCCCCACGTGGGCTTTTTGAGGTACATGTGGGGAGTGTCCCGTTTGTTTATGATGGATAAGCACCCCCTTTAGTGTGAACCACGATGTGTTTTTGTTTCAGATTGAAAATGTACAGACTCATGTGACAAGTTCAGGCATGTCAGTCAAAGGGAGGGGTGGCAAATCCCACGCTGAGGGACAGAAAAAGAAAAAGACGGATACTACTGAGATTAATCAAAGAAATGTCTGATGGCTCTAAAAAAAAAAAAGTTAAAAAGAGTGGAATCTTCCTTTAACCGCCTTGAGCCGGAGATGGAAGACTCTTGGCCCCCTGCAGAATGAGAGGTGATTGCGAGTTGGCCTCTGTGGTGGGTTTGCTCCTGTGATTGGCCCATTTGTCTCAGGCCGCTGCCAAAACACTGATGACCCGTCACAGCCGAGTCAGCGTTGGCTCAGGTCAGGGGCGCCGTTGTGTGTCGCCTTCGCTCTGAACCCTGTCAGCGTCTGTGGGCGCCGGCTGATGGCGGCGAGGAGAGGCCCCGGCGCTCCTGATCCCGCCGCGCCCGCCGCTGGCCACGGGGAACCTCGTTGCTCCTGCATTTAGCCGCCGTGACGTGTTGTGACGGGTGACTTAACGCACCGGGGGCGAGGCCGGGGGCCACGGCGCTGGTGTATCTGCAAACCTCTGCTGTTTGGTTTGCTTTTAATTGCCTCGGCACGCACGTTCCAAACGTGCCAAACTTAGGAGACACGGTTTCTATACGCTTGTTCCTGTTTCAGGTCACGAGTGGAAAGAGCAGCCGCGTCACTCTGTGTCTTTGTCTTTTCGTGCAAACTGTAAACTGAACAGAGCTAAAGGTCAGTAATGATTACTTAACAGTTGTCCTGGTATTCTGTGTCAAAGGCCCCAAGCAGGGATCTGTCATCACTCCCCCCCCTACCCCCACCTCCCCATTTTCTATCCAAACTTTCTCCTTTGACAGTCGCGTGTGTCAACTCTCTCCACATTCTGGGAACTGCTCTGGATGCAGCTTCAATCTCAACTCACATTTACTTTGGCTTGTCATGTCAAACAGCATAACTGGTAAACATCAGCGTAGCACCAGTAATAATGGCCGTGGTAAACACACCCCTGTGCGCATTTGAGGCTCTTTTTGTCTTGAGTATTGCCCCATTAGGTATATTAAACAAGCACACAGTTTTGAAATATTTTTTCCTCATTTGCACTTTAAAAAAATGGGAAAGATTGCACCGGAGCCAGACTAAATAAACTGAGCAGTTTGTCATCCAGTTCCATACAACCGAGGCGTCCTTAGTAAACATGAAAGGCTTCTTTGAATGGTGAATGTAAGCATCTCTCTGGCTCCCGGCTCCCTGAGGCCACGGCGCAGCAGGAGATGAGCAGCCAGGCCAGCAGCCGGCCGACACATCCTCCAGCACGCTGACTGTGTGTGTTATATCACACACACGGCCTTACGTTACAGCTCCAGCCATCTCCTCCACTGCGTCCACGCTCCCACCACCTTCAAGGGAGAAAATACGAGCCTCCAGGGAGACACGAGGCTTTTTCAGTGATAACAGTTTGGCTCTATGGACAGAATCGGGCTTTTTTGGAACATCACTGCTGTGAAGTGGAAGTGAAGTTAGTTAAGCAAGCCGTGTGTTTTAAAGCTTTTTTTTGTATTTACCGTCTGGTATTTTAAGGCACTCGATTAATTTATTAGTGCTCTGTCTAAAGAGTTCTTAAATCCCTGGTATGGATCCCACCTCAGTAATCCCGAAAACTGTGCTTCCATTAATGACATTATACTAATCTCTATAAAAAAGACGTCTGCTTCTGAATAGAATGAGCAGAGTCTGGGGACAGAGGAACATTTCAGGAGGCTAGAAGCTTTCCAATTCCAGCTGTCTGAGTACAATTTGTCACATTTAAGCAGGCATTTTGTATGACTGTAAGCTCGCATGTAATTTTCACTATTTCTCTAATATTATTATTCCATTTATGTGGATCAGTATGTCATTACCCAGGTGTATGTATTCATGAAGCACCAAAGAATCAAAATCACTGGAAAAAATCCCCTGAAATCTCCACCTGCAAAACTGAATGAAAGGTTTGGATTTACAGGATGCTAAAATGATGGTTGCACAAGTCTTCAGTTTTTTATTTCATGTCTTGTCTGTTGTCTGTATATTATTGTTCAGTGTAGGTAAATACAAACTCTGTCATAGTTCCAAATTAAAAAAAAACCTTCAAACTGTGAGCAGACAGAAGATGATGCCCTTATGGTATCTCTTTTTTAAAATAATATCTACAGACGACATACTGTGTCCTGTCGTGTTGCCATGATCTTATTCAGAAAGAACATTTACTATGCTAAACCCGATGCCTGTGGAGTCTGAGATGCAGCTCCAGACATTGAGCTTCGTGCGGCCCGGCGTTGGGGTTACCTCGCTGGAACGTCCACTCCAGGAAAGAAAGAATGTACTATACTTGTCAATAACTGTTCTCAGTGCAGCATGACGGAGTCCAGATAGTTCTGAAATAGCCTCATAACCAGACTGACAGCAACAATATCATTTCTGAGATTGGGATGTCTCAAAGCTCCAAACCAGCCCATTTCCAGAACCTCTGCCTTTATAGAGCTGTTTCTATCTGTTGGGGATCAGTTAATCAGGGATGTTTTATTAGCACCACCGGGCTGATATTTTCCCTCCCCAATTCCTATAGAAGTAGACAGGATGTACTTCAGTTTTGACATTTCTTGTCCAGTGTTTCTTGTCCATTTGTAGGTGGTGTCAGAAATGATGCTGGAACTAGGGGTATGGAAGCTTAGCTGTAGCACCTTTCAGAGAACCTCAAAGTGTCTTTTAGGATCATTTGTGACAATGTTTAGAATCAGTGGTTATTTAAAAATCAATTTTTCTTCATCACCATTGATGAAATTCTAATGTGCCACAAAGGCTTGTCTTTCCTTCAGGGTGCCCACAGCCCAGCTCAGAGTTAAACCCCGAGGCGCTGGTGTGGCCGGGTTTCACTGTCCGTCAGCAGGGCTCGTGCGAGATGATCTGCATCATGAATTATTGATAAGATGTGTCTGGCTGAGCTTGAATGGATTGTTTGCAGTCAGAGCGTTCTGCTGCCTTTTGGCATCAGCCTGAAGCCTTCAGTGGGACATATTGCCGGTGTCGTTCGCGTCTCAACACAAACACAACCCGGCTCAGTTATTCATTTTTCATTTAGTGTGGACTGACTAAACCAGGAGCCTCGCACAATTGTTTCAAACACTGGCCCACAAACGGTGTGCTCGACACCCTATATGCTGAAGCCCTTTGGGGCTGTGTCCATGGCAGCCCCCACCCCCTGAGGTTACTCTTCTGGAATTATCACTATATATGGAGCCCTCTCTCTGGTTCCTTATGTTGTGACGCTGTTTTGCTGTTGTGATGAGGGTCAAATGAGCACCGCAGCCAGCCCGTTCTCACGAGAAAATATAGTTTTAGTTTTAGTAGAAACACAGTGAAGGTTCAGACATTGTGAGATGTCGATGTTTATTATTGTTTTACGATATCTTTCACTTTTGTGTTTCCTCGATTTATTTATTTAATTACCAACCTTAAAAGATTTTATGTTCCATATCCTATCATACTGTTTATATATTAGATAAATTCTCTGTGATAAACACAAGAACGCAGTAGGCAACATATCTGAGGGGTCGTTTTGATTATTTAAGAAATATTCTGACAACAGCTGTCCTTTCACTGGTGCTGACCCACATTACAGTCTATGATTAAGTCCTTACAAAATTATGTCCTTTTCATGTTTCTGAGAATAGGCGCATACCAAAATACTAAAGACGTTTTTAGGGTTGTTTTCTTTCATATTCAATCGTACCCATGGCCTTCTAACGGCTTTGAGTGTCAGTGCGTGTTTTTCTTCAGTCAATGTTAGATCATATCATTATATTATATTATCTTTAAAAGTAATTGTACATATTAAGCAAGACGTGGCTACGTGCTTTGCCACCATTAAAGATTTGAAGTGGAAGATTTAAGCCAAAACTACACTTATTCATAAAACCAGCCCTGTCAGAGCCACCTGTGGCTTCTACTAAATGGTCACAGCTTTAAATGTTGAGGTTCCACCTTTCAATCTACTCACCCAAACATGTGTTTAGGGGTTTTTTAGAGGAGGTGTGGAAGGGTGTGGAAGGTCCCAGACAGAAACAGCATGCCACCAACCACATGTGGTCAGAAGTGATTCTCTGGAAAATCACTGCTTTGCCATTTTTGTTCTCTCCAGGAATGCAGTAATGGACATGTGAGCACTCCGTGCTAAATGTGTCCTCTGGGCATCTTGTTGTGATCCAGGGAACAGAACACGATAGTTAAGAGTAAAGTTCACCATGTGATATATTGGATGGAAGTGGAAGAAGTTGTGAAGTTCAAGCCTATTAAACAATGAAAGCTGCATTCCAAAACCTCATAGATTTACTTCAGCAGCTTAACCTGGAGTGGTGATAAAGCTGTTGCGTCTTCAGACTCCTCATCTCTCTAGTATTGGACATTTCCTCGAAAGGACTTATGACAGCAAATATTTTTCCTCTCTGTGAATCATTAAGTAAGTTTAAACATAATGTGGAAATATGGCAACATTAGTGTTAGATTAAACAGTGCTGCACAGGGTTATTAGCACACAAACTCAAATCATAGGTCTAATCGATGGAGAGTGTTTCCTTTCCTGCTTTGTATGTGGACAAGAATGAAAGAAACAACCTGTAGTTTGAAGGACTTGAGTTCACCTCATTTGTCGTCTCTCAGATGACTTTCTAACCATCATTATCTCCCCTGACGTGTACAGACTGCTCCAGAACCTCCATTTCTAAACTGACAGAGTGTCTGTGATGGTTAAACTGCATCTCTAGCTGCCTTTTTATAATTAGAGTGCAGCACCCCATTTAATTGAACTGCCTGTCTCCTCTGGCCGTTCTCAAAGTAGTCCAGTTCCACTGTGACATGGCAGCAAGTTCAGAGCTCAGAGGATTATGGCCACTTCCTCCTCTCTAGGGTCACAACGCCACTGCCCATTTCCTGTACTCTTCTGGGTCAGGCTTAAGAATCAAAAACAAGGCGGGATGGGTGGAGGGCCATGGTACTGTCTTAGTGGAAGAGGGTCCAGCCATGGCTTTTGTGATAAAAACCTCCTCCCGCTGTCAGAGTTGTTGTGCACAAAAAAAAGTCTAATTTCAAATATATCTTGTTGTACGTATGTGTGTGTCTGTGCTGGTTATGGTTATAGACTAATGACCTGTCCATGGTTTTAGCTTTTTTTTTTTTTTTTTTCAAATGAATCATTCATGAATGAGTCATTTATGTTTATGAATTTAGCAGACACTTTTATCCTGAGCGACTTACAAAGTAGACACAAGTGCATGTCTCCCCGTCGGGGAATAGAACCCCGGCCACTTGACAGGCAGGGATTCTCACCACTATACTAACGAGGAGAGTTTATAGAGCATAGTTGTATGTATATCGCCATATAGAGTCATCTGCCCTGCTGTACAGGTGCATTAGCACAGCACAGTCAGTGGCTAGTTCAGGGCCAGCAAAGCTGAACACAGAGAACTACTCGTCAGCCTGTAGCGTTATTGATTGTGAGCCACATCAGCCAGGCAGACACTAAAAGTAGAACCAGAAATAGGTCTGTGTGTATACTAGCGTATGCAAACTCTGCTCAGCAGATAGACCTTAGTTTGGGGGGAGCAACATTGTGTGCGTTGACTCCATTAAAAATACATTTAAAAAAACACATTCTGCTTGAGTAGTCTTTCTAGGCTTTCATACTTCAAAATGTAGCAGAAGGTTGAGATAACCAATTCTATTAGCAAGGAAAAAAGGAAATCACCACCTCATATATCTGTCATAATATACAAGTTTAAAGTGTTTTAATATTTCATTGTTATTGATAATTGTCTTACATATTCTTTTACTATTACATTCCTCTATTTGATGTACATTTGTGATGGCTGCATCAAACTAAGTACCACAGAGAATTAGTAAGAGAACTTAAAAAGGGTATGAAAAGCATGCAACCATTTGATCTGAATGGATGTATGGCTCGGCTTTCAATAATGCAGATCATTTCAAACCAATGACATGTGAAGATTTTCTTGATGTTTCAGCACTTTAACAGTTTTGTTGTACTAAAACCCTACAAAAGCCCCCCAAAAAGCCAAAACACTCAGTCCCTGCTCTCACACAAATTGCAGCTTTCAGTTTGCTCGGTGTGTGCGTCCTGATGAGAGTCTGTCTGTGTCCTCAGGTACGAGAAGGTTCCAGTAATCCTGGTGGGCAACAAGGTGGACCTGGAGAGTGAGAGAGAGGTATCGTCCGGCGAAGGTCAGGCTCTGGCCGAGGAGTGGGGCTGCCCGTTCATGGAGACCTCGGCCAAGAGCAAAACTATGGTAGACGAACTGTTCGCTGAGATAGTTCGGCAGATGGACTACGCCGCTCAGCCGGACAAGGATGACCCCTGCTGTTCCTCGTGCAATATACAATAGCCCTGGGGGCCTCTAAGGACAGGCCACGAGAGTCCACTGAGAGGACGCTCCATCGACCCGCAGCAGACAGATTCACACTTAGACACGCACACACACGCAATCGAGCCAATTAAACTGATGATAAATACATGGTTGATCACAATGGATTTTAACTAAGTGGAACGTGCAAGTCGCAGCAACATGATAATTAATAACGACATGTGAGTGCTGCACACATTTTGAATGAGGAATGCCAGGAATTTGCCGCAAGAGAAATTGAGAAATGAGAAAAAAGGAACATGCCCTCGCCTTATGTTGTTTTCTGTTGATGTTTGTGTTCATCTTTTCATTTACAGCAAAGAGTCACCCTGGCTATTGTGGAGGGCCACTACCATAAACCCTACAAAGCTTTTCTGAGAACCAGCCATTTTAAACATTTAGGAGTATATAAGTTACAGTATTTAGAACTCTTCTCCCAGTTAAAAAAAGTCAGTGGGAGGTTTTTCTACCCACCCCAGGGCTGAACCAAAGAGGTGACCCAAAAGCACCTCCCTTTTTCTAACATTATTTTTTTAACTCATTCACAGTAGGAATGGAGAGAAAGGGGACAAGTCAGTGTCTTTCCTAAAACATTGGTGCAGTGATTTCTTTCCAGTTTTTCTCACTTTGAGATATAATACTAAACATAGCAGAGTCTCACATATCGTGTGATGTTTTGTTCTCCTCTTTGAGAGACTCTGAAAACAGATTAATGAGTAGTAATATAAGAAACCACTTCATCCTGATAGGACAAAGAGTATTTTCAATGTTTGAATAACTGAACACACGCCATCTCTCCAACTCTATCAGGAAGGGGTGACGTTAAAAGTGAAGAGGCCAACATTTGTCACTTATTTTTTTCCTCCTCCAGAGCCACAAGGAAATGTGGCACTTTCGAGTTTCCGCATCCTGATGCCATTTTATGTGCTCAGAGTATTCAAATTCATGGTGACAAATAGAAAGGAGGATGAAGATGTTTAAAACTGTTGTGTAAATATTTTGTAATGAAAGTGCCAGCTCGTATGAAGACACTGACCCAACACATGTGGAGTTGTCATCTGTGTGCATGGCTAGTTAACAAAAAAGGACTCTTACTGTTTGAGATTACTATAGGCTGTGGAAACGTGCAAATCAAACACACTCACGTCTGGATCTGGACACTGTTTAAACTGTACATCAATGTTGCCACGGGAAGCAGACTTTCCCCGTGTGACCATTTTCATTGTTGATTTTCTATTTTTTTATGTGACCATTTACTCTTTATCCCTCTATGAATGGTGACACTGTTACATTTGACACCTAAACAATAAAAGTGCGTTCAACACTGGAGTGTGGCTGCCAGGCTTCAGACCGATGGAGGGAATAGTTTGAAAAAGGTAATTATGCAACTGTTATGGAATGAAAAGGATGAAAGAACTTATAACATGTCCTCTTACCTCATAAGATTTTTTCCAAATGAGTCCAACATCTGTAAATAATCATGGTTGATCAATTTTTCAGTTGTCACACAAGCAATAAGCAGGTACATACAGGTTACTACTGAAGAACTTGTTGTTTGCTCTGTCAACAGCATCAGTCTAACATGTCCAGACCTGCTAGAAAATAATCATTGAGCACAACAGTACAAGGTTACAGACACCAAGCATGTGCAGCATTTGACATATTGATCTTTGTTGATAAGGATCTCATTTCAAATTGACAAGCGAAGACGCACATTACATTCATTAGAGAGAAACCCCTGTTCTACAGGAAAGGCTGTCATGACTGGGGCCATTGTACCATGTTTAAAATGATATTTAGAAAATGTGCCATGCTTCTTTTATTTAGATCTAGAGCAAAAGAATACACAAAGACCTGTCAAATATAAATAACAATAGAGGTGGAGATGTAAGCAGAAATATCAGTTAGTTTTACAATTGAATCATCCATTATTTCTCTTTTTGGCTCACATAGGTTATTTGATGGCAAATAGATTTTGTTTTTATCATCTTTTTTGCACTCTTGGCAAATAGAAAATAATTTGTTTATAATTTATTTGGATTCCAATTTCTAACATCTCAAAATGTGGGTAGTAATCTAGATTTTCGTCTTATGACTTGCTACAGTTCTGTAACATAAGTCTATCAGCTCAGCTTTTGCTGTTCAGGAAGTGTTGCTCAAAAAGGGAGAAACCCAAGACAATTTCTTTAGAACAAAAGTTCATGACCTGCTCGTAAAAAAAGGCCAGAAAACTTGAGTTGAACATGCAATCCGTGCAGCTTGTCACAATTCTCACAAGTAGGGCATCATCCAACTTTTTTAGCTTATTCAAAAATATTTCCGGTTTTATTAATGCTCAGTGACTTTCCACAGTGTATTTTGCATCTTAATATAGAGATCAAAATAGGTCAATAGACTTTACGTTCTCAATGTCTGCATCAGGACAGTCCACACGGCCCTCATAGTATTATGACATTTCATTATGTTCTCATTGAGGTTACAGAGAGCTTACAGGGGGATTTGATTTGTGTTGATTGATTCCGAGATGTAAAGTTATTAGCAAATCTCTTTACAAAGAAAAGGTTCCTCTTTAATTCAGGTTTTTCTCATTAGTTTTCTTTTCACAAGCAATTTGAGAGGTTTATGAATCAGTGATGCAGAATATAAAGTGGCAGTGGGAGACAACATGAGTAAACGGATCTGAGGAAGAGTTTGCCCTAGTCTCCCCCCCACATCCCACGAGACCCTTGTCAACATCCTCCTGCAGCAGCCACCTGATGTGGAGGAGCCAGTGGCGAACATGTATGGTCTGTTGGTGCTGTATTTTCCACCGCAGTGCTTTATCCAGCCTGATGAGACAAGGACCAGAAGGCTGGAGGACTTGACGGTGAGAGGTCTCAGTGGGGTTCATTAGGAACCAGAATCCCTGTGGCATCACTCAGTCTGCAGCCAGATCATTTGTGTTTGTGTTAATGTATGGTCTCATTAGGTACAACACCCCTGTTGTCTGGAGAAAGGGGTTTAATGAGAATAGATGACCACATGCTTTACAATAACAAACCAAATATGTTTTTGTAGTTCTATCTTATTGTCATGTTAAAGTTGTTAAAAATTCTCTCAAGAAATGAAAGGTGACATCATGAGAATCTGGCTCTGCAGCTGGAGGCAGTCCAGAAAACAAAACTAAAGTAAGCCTGAAAACAACAACCCGAGTCTCGCTGTGTAGGTGTATGAATTAAACACTCGTTGCTATCTGTTCCCAGCTTTGTACACTAGAAGCTGGCAGCCATGGACATTGTCGCTGTGATACAATGTGCCATGTTTTTCCAGCTTAGATCCTCTTCATCAACATGTCAAATGTCAAGATGAAAGAAGGTGTGGGGGGGGCTGGGGGTGGCAGCATGAGTCACCATCCATTTCTCCCCCTGGCTGTGGCACACTCCCCCAGGATGTCTGTGTGTGATGCAGACAGCAGCCATTCATGACACAAAGGCCCGCCCGTCCTCATTTCAACCGCCGCGCTCAGAAGTTCAAGAGTCGCTCTGGGAAGTCCAGGAGCACCCAACCAGCTCAGCACTTTTAAGGATGAGGGAAATTCCAATGCACAGACCAAACAAAAGCGCCTTTAAATTGCTTTAATCCCCTCATTGATCACTGGAGCATTAAAGTCTCAATGTGCTGCAGACGGAGGCTGTAATGTGTGGAAATTAGCCTTTTGTGCCTGTGAGGCACAGAGGAACAGCCAAAATCAATAGGATTCAAAGCATAATGAAGAAATGATGGGTTTGGAGGAAATATTTTAGTTTTCGATCAACTCATCTGAAACGGTTCGAGTCAACATGTTTTAAGTGTCATTGTGCTTCTGCCCCCGTCCTTTTTCCAACGGGTTGAACCAGTCAGCGGGCTTGGAGCAGATTCTATCCTGCATTTGCTCGACTGGACGTTAAAGCTCCCATCAACCCACACTATCAGCCCCCTCCTGATGTTACATGCCTTTTTACACCGAAAACAGTGGTGATGTGCAGAGGGGGGAGTAGCAAACAAGCAGAGCCAGGTCTGTCAGAGGGCCTAATAACTAGGTGTCATGGCAACAAGACAGCAACACATGAATTGTCAATTTCACACTCTAATTTGCTGCTGCAACAGAGGAGACTGATTGCGGGGGATGATGTGTGCAAAAAACATATACATGTCATGTTTGTCACAACTTTCTTGTTTTTATCAAAAGCAGGCATGTATGTGTTATTTCAGCCAAATTTCTGACAAGGTATTTGGCTGATTCTACTCCAAATTTCCTGAGTAAATGATGGCATGATGAAGATGCATCAGATTTAGTATAGATCACAACTTCCTGCATATATTCCTCTGATATTCATTTATTCTGAGCAGAATTCTTCCCAAATGATCTAAAATCTTTTAACAAAGTCTTTGGTATACGAACTCTCTCTCTAATGAAAGACTGTACACTTTCTCAGCGATTGTATTCTTTCTTAATTATTTCCATAAAGAAATGCTTTGCTGACAATGACTAAAAACTCCAAATGTTGTACAATAAGCATTAAACTAACCGAATAAAAATTACCAAGAGAGACAGACTAAAACTAAATTAAAATCCATTAAAGCACATTCAAGGAAATTAATAGAAATTAATGGAATAGATTAAACACTTTAAATGATTCAATTAAAGATGTATTCAAATTATTTCCTGGATCTTTAAACTTATGAAAACACCCTTGGTCATGCTGTGGGTTCCACTGGACTATAGGAGTCATCCTGTTTCAAGCCCTTAGATATTAACAATAAAAACTATCTAAATCATTGGACGAATCTCATGATAAACAGGAAGCCAATGGAATGAAGGACTTGTTAGTGTTATTTGATGTGTTTTTGTACATACACATGTTCGCAACAAAGATTAAAAAGTGTTAACTGTCAATAACCGTTTCAGTTCTGGGGTTTGTAGTTTTCCACCAAAGCAATGTTTCCATGATACAGAAAGCTTTGTTTTTAATCTCCTGTTTGACAATCAGTAGTCAAATACTCTTATGGTGTGCAGATACAACTGTTAAGCACTCCAGATTTGTTTACCAGTGTTTTCTATGTGTAGGCAAATGTTATGCTCACAATTCATGATTGTATTATAAAAACTAAAAATCAGAAAGGCACCTGTCCCTGAAGTAACTCAAACCTAGGAGAAAACTTTAAGTCTAATGGATCTGGCTGTGGTGGTTGTCTGAGATGGCCCTCCTCTTTTCTGTCTTAGTTTTCTGAAATTTCCCAGTGTCAAGAGGTCCAATGGGGTCCCACAGGTCCCGATTATTCCCATGGAAATTTATAGCAAAACACAACTTGATTGTCAACATTCATGGCCGAGTTTGTACATAAAAGGAAAATCTTCAGTGATGTAAAAAAGCTGGCATAGAATCATTTGGTCTTGTGTGAAAATCTTATTTTTCCCTCAAATCATTAAGATTGTTCATACAAAGAACCAAATCATTAGCATATGTTTCCCTATGTGACAAATTATCAGGCATCAGGCATAGTATGTTGTACAGATATGAGGAAATAATCAAATCTGTGTGATCCTGGCTTTACAGATTCAATGACCAGAGGGATTGTCTTTGCCGGTTCTTTAATTTTTCCCTTGGAATACTTTAAATAGAGCTTGTGAGGAGGCTCCCCCATGCTGTTTTCCTTGTCTTGCGGAGGCGTAGCTTGGCAGGAGCTCTATGAAGCTTATGTCCAGGGGAAATAGCTTTGTTCTTGAACCTTATGGTTGCTCTAGTATTTCCTCCCCTGCTTAATCAGCTTTCATAACTCCCCTTCTCCCTTTCTGTGTACTTCCACCTGAGCTCCCTTCTCCAACACAAACAGCGTCTGAGTGCTTCTTTCAGAGACACGGTCTTCAGCATCCCAGGATGAGCATTGTTGTTGCACCTGGTGACGAGGTGTCCCAACTATCAGAGACAAAAGCATTGATTCTGGTATTTATCGCTCCAAAGAAATGAAAAAAAAATGCAAACGAACATTTTCCTTTTTTGTGTGGATGAAAAAGGGTTGATTTGCAGGGAAATATTCCTGATGGGGTCAAATGTCAGTCAATGAAAAGAAATGTAGGATTTGCTGAATCTTTGTTTTTTTATTTTTGGGGTAAATTGGAAATCTATTGATCACGCATCTCTGTTTTTTTCTTTGTCTTTTTTCTGCTTACTTGTTTTGGAAGCACTATAAATGACTTCTTAAGAACTAATTGTGCATCTGAATCAAAATCCTTTCAACGGTAATCAGGGATATAGTTCAGTCACCTAAAAAAAAAATCTAAGTCAATTAACCTGTTTAGGGAGTCAAGTTTTTGAACTTTCACTCATATCCTGCTTTATAAGTAGAAACTGTAATGATCTTCCAGCTCTGGTAGCATTT